AGTATCTGGTAAGTCGATTAGAATCACTGATCGATTGGAACTTTATCATCCTCCAAAATTAATTCTTTTACGAGTACCGATGATAGATAACTGGAAATTGATAGAAAGAGAGATGGAAGGAAGCTAAGTCTTTGGTACGGAGAAACGGAAGCGTTGCAATCTTCGATCTTGAATTTCGAGCTCCTAGGCGCCAGGAAATTTATGTAACGAGCGATCTTACATTCCTCCAACATTTTAATTGAGAAGAGCGGCAGGAGAAGACAAGTTGGTCACAATGCTACCAATCTTATCGTCGGCAAACGCTAGAGAGACAATATTACATTTCGAGCCCCTAAGTGCGGGAAAATTAAGGAACAAGCGATCTCACATTTCTCCACCACATAAATCAAGAAGACTGTCAAGAGAAGACGGATTGGCCACGATGCTACCACCCTTATCATCAACGTAAACGGCAGAAAGACGATATTACATTTCGAGCTTCTAGACACGAGAAAATTTAGGAACGAGTGATCTCGCGCTCCTCCAAACCATACATTGAAAATACTGTCGAGAGACGACAGCGTGCAACCGTGTCGTCGATGCAAACGCCAGAGTGACAATGTTACATTCCACATGAGCCGGTAGAACATTGGCCAAGAAACTGGCTATCCGAAAGCACGATCCCCTTGGCCGCGTAATTTCCTCGCCAAGAATTTCGCGTCTCTTTGTCTGGCTTCCCAGCCCGTTCCTATTCCTCTTTTTGTTCTTGGAACGTAGCAACGTATGCAAATGAACCTATGCTAGCATTCTCCAGACGGAGGAAAAAGTATTTGCACGCCTACGTTTTTTAGATTCCATATTACCTCCTGATGGTTATAAAATTATTAAATCTTTCGTTGATCATAGGCAAGTGAAATCATTAAATCAGACTATTTTTGGAGCAATTTTATCGATACTTCTCGTGAGATAATTTATGAAGTAAAAGTAACGATGCATTTAACTGGAACAGATTTTTAAAAATTATTACATTGAGAGGCGTAATTGATAAACAACAATTTTTTTTTTGTACAAGTAGAGAGTCACGAGACTAGTATACAAATACTGTCTTGGCTATGAAACTTTCATTCTTGTATTATTTTCAAACAACAAATTATCAATTTATTTTTTCCGTGTACAATGAAGCGTACATGAACACCATAATAACGTGGTGCTTCTTTACCTCCAAAAAGACATGCAAATAGTTTTTCGAGCCACTATGCAACCCAGGAGATATAAACGCGACGAAAAGGAACGACACTCCGTTTCTCTGGTCTATTTGTGCCCGTGTGTTACCGTGACGCACGTGCCGTCCGTTTGCAATCGGAGTGACACAACTATGTTTTTCGAGTATCAGATTTTGGCGACCAGTTTCTCGTGGATGCGCAATCCGCGACCTTCGAGCGATGTAAAGTTGCACATCCGTCGTTGCAAATGGACGACACGCTCGAGGCGTCCTGTAATTCGTGCTACAAGCGGAAAAACGAGTAATCGCTTTTCCTCCTACAAGGTGTACTTTTCGAAACAATCAAACTCGTCGAGCACACCCAACCGAATTTCAATAAAATGTATAAATTTTAACGCACATCACTGTCAATTTGTGTTTACTTTCGTGAATAAGCTCCAATAATAAGTTTATTTGTTATACTTGTACAACCAAGAATTTTCCTCGTCTCAAAAACCCCCGAGCCTTGTATACAAGCACGATTCGAATGCCTCGACTCCACAAGATTTTTGCGCTCGAAAAACGACTATTAATCGCGAAATGTATTGTATTGAAATACAAATCAGATGTCGCGCACCCGATGAATTTTCAAAACTCGACTGCTTCGCGAGGCTTCGACTGCTAAAGGAATCGTTATTCAGGCCGTTCTCAGCTTGCGTTTGAATGAGCAATCACCCCCACCTTGATCGTATCACGAATTACGGGACACCTTGTATAGATACGGGCGCACGCACGGTAAAACCGAAAAGTATGCCTCGCGATATATAACTTTCCTCTTGTATTTTCCCCGTCGCGTTCTCCCTTTCTCCGTTTACCACGGTTCGCGTCCTTTCTCTTTTTAAGCTGCGACTTCGATCGTTACGTTTTGTCTCATTCGGAAGGAGGACGAAGTCGGACGAAAGTGGAAACCGCAGTAGTTGGCTGACGTTACCGCATCTTAGACATAGATTTATCCTCCCTCCCACACCAATCTCGCTTTTTCGACGATCGAGTGATCGACTAACGTCTCGACCAAGCCACCGAATCGAATTGATACGACATCGTCATACTTGCGCCGATCCGGTGTCGACGTTCAACCGCACGATGACTCTACCGCGTAATAATTAACCCTTTGAGTGCTATTACGCGTATATCCGTCCAGAGTTTTCTTCCACATTGCGTTACCTCTTGATAGTTGGAAATTGTTAAATCAGACTATTTTGGTTGCAATTTTAATAACACCTCTACGAATGATTCTATTAATTGATAGATAAATGTTTTTATTGAATGCCAGTAGAGAATGAACTGCACCTGATTGAAGATATATATATTCACCTCAAATATGTACGACACTTTGGAAGGTAACTCTTATCTACTGCCTGTCAATATTATCTTTGATTCTAAATCCCACGCGACCAATGTAAACAAGCTTATTGTGTACATTTGTAAGCCCCCAATACAGAAAGGTTCGAGATCTCTCAGATTGGTTGACATTGTGTTCATGAAATAATTTTCTTGTATTATCTAATTCGAGGCAAAACAAATCCTGGAAAGAAAGCATTCCCTCTTCAGCACTCAAAGAGCTAAATATCCCGTATCGACTTCAATTATCGACGACAACCCAGCTACTCGTACAAAGTTTCGTAATATCATACCTAAGCACAATTTTAAGTGTACACGTTTGGACATCCTTATATGGTTGCGAGTGCAATCATTGTTCAAGTTATTATTATATTGGTGTTTCCATACTTCGCATTATTCGTTAATGGTCATGGGGGTGTTATTATATCGTCGAGATATAATGTATTCGAGCACGACACCGTTAAGTATCCTACGTGTTCTCGAAAGAAAGTGTTGTCTAAAAAAATGAACAAACAAGTCTTTGGGTAAGATTCGCTGTCGCTGCTACTGCTGCCGTTGCTGGTCTCTCCGTTTAATTCTCTTTCGTTTCACGGAACGGCCTCTCAACGAATTCGGCTTCGCCTTGCCTCTATTGTTCGACGAAATATTTCATTCTCGCGGTACGTGTATGCACAATTTCCTTTGGCCATTTTTCATTTTCTCATTTCTCTTTTGTCGAGTGTGCACCGTTCGTTTCTCCTCTTTTGTTCTCTTACACGATCAGGATTGTCCGTATGTTTACATTCCGTACTAAAAGTGCAGCTCTATATAAAAGATAACGTTGCTTCTTTTGCGTACAGCAACTTCAGGCGATATAATATATGAATTACTCTTACAATGTATCTATGTACGAACGCCGGTGGTCCTCTATTAAAAATGTTCCAAAAATGAATCCTCATTTGCTCGTACCCCGCGCCGATCCTATTTTCGCAAATACTTCTTTTGTTCCTCTGACACTCATTCTCTCTCACTCTCTTTTTCTTTCCTCTTTTTTTCCCCCTACCATTTACGTTAGGTACAATAATTCAACAACGAGCATCTGTAGCCAGTATATAACGAGTATTTTTTGTTATAAGATTCACAATATACTATAATAAAGGTATCTCTCTCCCTCACGCTCTCCTCCCGATGTTCTCCGAGAAGCGAGCAATCGATGGGGAATACGAAAAAAAAAAAAAGAAAAGAAATAATAATAAAACGAAAAAAGAAAATAACAAAAACAAAGTCGTTACGTAAACATTACTCCAGCGGAATAACCGTGTGACGACTACCGATATAGAAACATTGGTATCCGTATTATCGCGACAAAAAATGTTCTCTCAACGTCGAAGAAGGTATTCTTGTAGACAAATAGACAACAATGCACGACATGACAATTGATTGTTGGTGTATTATGACTACTCCCCGGCAAAGTCTTGTAAACGTATGTGCTAAGAGGACGATGAAGAAGAGGGGCGCGGTGTAAAGGGGGCTCGGGGAACACTCATAGAGACAGCGACGCTATTATGTACAAAATAACTCCGGTGGGGCCGACGTTTCCGATATTAGTAACAATTATCGAGAGCGAACTTTACACACACCTCCTCCGCAAACTGGACGATATAGCCACCGTAGGGGACAGACACATGCACGTACGTGTATGCACACACACGTACGTGCATGTATATTCATCTGCATATAAATATATACACAGATGTATAGATACACATGTATATATTCGGAGTGGACATATATGTATTTTCATCAGTCATTATGAATATATACATATATACAAATTTATACAGATTTTTATATGTATCTGTATACATGCATATGTTCATCATTCATTGTGAACATATTCATGTATGTTCGTCAATTATTATGAATATATAGACACATATACTCATATATATATATATATATGTATACATGTATTCATCATTCATTGTATGTATAAATGTACGTACTCGTTAACTCGTTATACGCATACATGTATATACTCATAATTCATTGTGTATTTCTTGATCTGTATATATATATATGTATACATTCATCGTTCTCGTACGTCGATGCGACAGATACTTGACTGGGGCAAAAAAAAAGATTCTCTCATGTAAAAAGTAGCGACGGCGGTGGCGATGGGGTGTATACGATTACCGTGTGCGGAACAACCGAAAGTTAGTTTCTTTAATATATTATATTTGTTTGTCTCCCTCTATTCCTCTCTCTGGCGCGCGCTGTCTCTCTTTTCCTATACGCTCGACAGCTACCATCTCGTCTCGTGATTCTCCATTCGTGGTAAGTTCGGACACAAAATAACAAAGCGCAAAATCTGCTATGTGCTATAATGCTATCTTGCACGTTTCACTCTCCCTCCCTCCCTCCCTCCCTCCCCCCCACTCCAAAAAAAAATCCCTGGCGAAATCTTGAATTCTATCTTCGCCTGCGAGCTTTCCCGAACCACGCACGCAATCATGCAATTCGCGCTCACTCATACCCGTATTTCCTTTCTTTCCCGCTTGCATGCATACATACATAACCTTACTTACACTTTCGCTCTCCTCGCCAGCTCTCACTCACTCTTTTTTTCACTCTCTCGTTCGCTCCCTCTCCATCCAATAATTTCATCTTACTTCATCTATCTCTTTCTCTCGACCGAAAAGCGACCAACGAGTGACGAACCATCGCGTATGAATAAATACGCGACACGTGTATCCATCTTCTATCCGGATGGGAAATTCAGAATTCGGCGAATTCCTTGGCGCACTTCTCCGTCAACGAAATCCTGAGCGTCTCCTCCTCGTAGTCGTCGAAGTTGCTCGTGTCCCCGGGACCCTTGCACTTGGGTATGAACGGCGCCTCTATTTTCTTTTGGAAGACTGCTATCCAATCGGTATGGGCGAACCACTTGTGACCCTTGATGTCGTTCACGCCGGCCTTCAGGTTACCGTACCTCTTGGTGAGATCGACTTGCAGCAAATTGCGGAGCAAGTCCTTCAGATCGGAACCGAAATGCGTGGGGAATCGCGTCTTGCCGCCGACGATCTTCTCGTAGATGAGGATCGGTTGATCGGCGAAAAATGGCGGATAACCGGCAGCCATCTCGTAAACGAGGACACCTAGCGCCCACCAGTCCACGGCCTTGTTGTAACCTTTGCTTAGGATTATTTCGGGCGCGAGATACTCGGGCGTTCCGCACAAGGTCCATGTTCTGCCCTGCACGTTTTTGGCGAAACCGAAATCGGTGACTTTCAGGTAACCCTGCGAATCGATCAGCAGATTCTCCGGCTTCAAGTCCCTATAGATTATGTTGAGGTAATGTAGATACTCGAACGCTAGGACGATTTGCGCCGCGTAAAAACGCGAGTGTGGTTCGGAGAAACGGCCGACCTTGCGGAGATGGCTAAACATCTCGCCACCGGGTACGTATTCGAGTACCATGTACAGATAGGAATTATCCTTGAAGTGAAACCGTAGCGATACCAGAAACGGGAAGCTGATCGCCTGCAGTATTCTCTTTTCGTTGAGCGTGTGTTCGACTTGCTTGAGTTTCACGACCTTTTGCTTGTCGAGTATCTTCATGGCGTAATACTCTTTGGTCGGTTTGTGTTGGACTATCATGACACGACCGAACGAGCCGGTACCGAGAGTCTTGATACGCTCAAAGTCATCGAGACCGGCGGTGTTCGTCGGGTTCTTCTGCCACTTATCCTCGAACTCCTTCTTTGCCTTGTCGAGGAACTGCTTGACGCTCTCGGCAGCGTCAACCTTTTTGTTCGCGGTCGCGGCATTGTTGCCCATCTTAGCAGCTGCGATGATATCCGAGCCGGCCAGGGCTCTACGCAGCTCGTGAAATTACCGAAGACAGCGTCTTCGTCTTCGTTGGTCTTCTACGGGAGCCGAGCCTATCAAGGCCCCGCGAACCACTGGCCTCTTCAGAAATTTTGCTATCTTCCGCGTACACTTATCGGTACCACCAGCACCGGTATTTCGTTACTTTTTCGACACCCTTTTTTTTTTTTTTGTCTTTTACCGTTCTCTCGTTACGTCGATGACAGTCAGGGCACGATGTCACGCCAATGCCGACTCTACGGAAACCCGCACACGTCGAAAGGGGCACTCACACTTACGCAAGAAACAGGGCACACGCGCGCACCGCACGGTGAATACACTCCTACCGAAAGCGGAGTATCCCTTTGCTTACTATTTACTTGGTTCAGTTCGAATCACACGTCAGGTACCCGTACCCTCGCGAACGAGGAATTGGAACCTTCGCGGTTACCTCGAATCGCACGAGAAACTTAGACCGAGCGATTTCGCGCGGAAAAATGGGTCAGCATTAATCCTCGTCCACACCTCGCGCCATCTTTCCTGTCAATTGTACTGGTCTCTGTCGTTGGTGTCGTTTCTCTACACCCGTCTCAATCTTTCCCTTCCTCCCCCTTTCTTTTCTACTCCTGTCTTAATTCGTAGCCGCGTACATCTGCCACGACTACCATTGACGTGCCTGTCCCACACGGTTCGGCAGATCAAAACACTACACACTGGTTGATTCGCAGCGGAACGTGCCGTGCGACTGAATTTACGGTCGTAGTCGCGATGCTTGAACGAGGGTCGTACGAGCGAGAGAACGACGTTTTGATTTTTGTTCGTTCCCAACCCTCCAACTCTTACGAAACGTCGTCTGCTGAACTTACACGGGACACACACACGCGCGCAAAAAACTTTGACTCCGTCCCGTATTAAATGAACATCGCGTACGGTTATGTTTCGCGTCTCCTCGCGATAGGGGAATTACTGTACGCGCTATCGCACTAAATACACTAATTGTTTTACTATACTCGCGGATTGACTTTGCCCTCTTAGAACGGGACAGGCGGCGGTAGCGGAGGCAGTCGGTACCGTTCCTAAAGATGGCGACGCGGCTCTCTCCGCTCGTTCGTTCGGGATTTCGCACGGATGCGAAAATAACCAAGTGCCGCTTCGGAAAGCTAGAGAGGTACTGTACTGCACGGATCGGCCACTGCTTCAACTAGTCGCCGACAGATGTAGCACGGGAACGATTCACCGCTTGCTTGGAAAGTGCTGTCACCAAGCGGAAGCGTCTATGAACTTTTCATTCAAAGGGAGCCTATGTTCCTTACGAATCCCATCGAACCGTGAATTGTTTCGTAAAACTGTCTCTGTTACCGTTTTCATGTGAAATATGATTCGCTCACTCTTCCATGCACAGAGTTTTAAGAGAAAAGTAAAACTCGAACCGAACGGTACAAAATCCCATTACTTATTCAGTTTCGAAATTCGCATAATCTATCGAATAACATGTTATTCTTATATAAACAAATTTGCCCACTCGTGATTACACTGCGGATTTTATGAATTTATGCAGTAAATTAACATAATGCTTGAAATCATTTGACGATATTCAAGTAGCGAATAGAATGTAAACAGCTTTGAAAAATGCAATATGAATTATATAATCATATTACGTTTAAAATAAGACTAATCAAACATTATCCGAATAGGTTAAGGTAACTACACGGAGCTATTGATAAAACAGTAACGAACGTTACTAATATTAGTAATTAGACAAAAAGAAACTTGACTTTTTAACGTACTGTACTACTTGAACTAAATTTTATAAATACAGAGAATTACAATTTAAAAATGAATCAGTTTCATCGACAAATTTTCCACATATCGATAGTTTAAACGAACTGATTCTATTACAATGAACTAATACATAGATTATATCGTCATGTAAACAAAAGTCACTGTTTCTAGTTGTTGGAATTATAACCTACAAATTAGAAAATCGGAAGACTACCAAACTAATTTGTACTTATAACACAAAAATGCTGTCTCCTTTACTCACTGTATCACGGGTATTTTGTTACAAACTGATCTCAAGCCGAGTTTATGATCAATTTGGTAGTTTCGTTGCTATTAATAATAATCGACCTGTTTTGTGGTATTGAACCATGGTATGTACACGGAAGGTTGAATACCCGCTGACCTGTGATAATCCTTTGGCGATTAGTTTCTAACTGTAGATAAGCATATAGGTACAATTTTAGAGCAGCAGGTACGGTCGAGAAAGCTAGGTGGAGTCGATGGAGGACAGGACGAACCGGTTACCACAGAGTCAAAAAGGTACGACCAGGTCAGGCCTTTTGGATACACATAATATTTTTGTGTGTAGTCCCGGCACATTGCACGGCAGACTGGGTAAAGGTGACAAAAGACATTTCTTATCGAGGTTACGTTCGGATGTTTCTTTCATCAACCTTAGTTTGTTTCTACCCTATGGGATGCGCGCGACCACGCGCTCTATTGATTCCATGACCTGAAGCTGAAAGCAGTGTGCCAATTTGTCGAAGGAAAGTAGAATCGGCTTTTTACTTGCGTCGCTTGTTTCTTCGTTATTTCGTTCGGTACAATTCATTAAATCGTCCATCTCGATAAGTTCGGGTCAAGTTTTGACGATAAAAGTAACCCACAACAAAATTATTAAGAATTGAAAATCGTACACGGAGAAAGCACAAAACATGCGAAATTTGTATAAATACATTAACGTTAAAAATTATTATATAAGTTCTTATAGAAGGTACGAACTTGCTTTATATATTTTTATGTCAAACGCTTTCTAATGCGCAATAGTAACAAAACCAGCGTGACAGGCAGTATAGTGTAGTAAATAAGAACACATTAAGAAAAGTGGGAATTTAGTCCAGCGAAATGAAAATTTAGATGCGTGATGCTATCTTTAGTTTGACACTGCAAAGCCAGTAGAAATATAGGTTACTGTCATCGAAATAGCTTGTGACTGAACACTTCCACTGACCCACTAAAACGAAATTTAATTTTATCAAGCAAAGCTTTATGTCAATGAATTTCCACCTACTTCCGATTATAATGTATTTAAGGTCAACAGAAGTTCTACATCGACTACGAACACGTGCCGAGGAAATGTTTTAATTTAAAATAATTGCCGAACGCTAAGTAATCGAAGGAGATTATTAATAAATGTTAATTGTGATATGCTAAGAAGGACTAGATAAATACATGTTATTTCACCTGTGTAAATGTCGCGCGTTTATTCTTTCAATGCGTATCAAAATAGCAGTGCACTAGAAACGCCAAGCATGTATCACCTTCCTGGTGGAAAGTTTCGATTGAAATCCCAACTCGATTTGGCATGGATGTGTATTTAATGGGTTTCACTGTGTAAAGGATATTCGGAAAGAAGCATCTGCTTTCCTCGTCTTCACCTGCATCGTACATAGCAGCTGCTTGGTGTTATCTTCATGCTTACGTAGACTCCTGGCACGTGGCATACGCGGTAGGGCAAAAAATACATTTGTGAATAAACTGAGACGTTTGCACGATTTTCGCGCATACAAAATTTTATTATCCACCCAACATTCGTTCGCGTTAAAGGATTCTCCGAAAGCGATGTTTTCTCCTGGTTTTCGATATGATTAGGAAACACTGCCAAGATCCTAAAATTAATTATACATATATAATATATATATTTTTTTAATATTTATATAAAAAGAGATAGTACGATTTTCATATCGATAGATATACCGTCATCAAAACGATAATAATTGAATAAATGCTTTTTTCCGTATGTAATAATATTTGATAGTAATAAAAATATTGAAAATTAACTGGATATTTATACAAAAAATATTAAAGCATCGTATCGAACCTATTTTTATTCATTGTCAAAACTACGATACACTGTTTTTCGAAGACTAAGAAAATTGACTAACTGCGAAGAAACAATATCATATTGTAAAGGGAAAGTTAATATGTTACTGTTTCACGATAAAAGCAACCTGTAACATGGACGTAAATGCAGCGAAGCCTTTCGGTCGGGTGCGCGGATCAACCTGAAAGCATCGCGCACCTTTTAATATACACCGGAAATGGGGCCATACACGAAACTTCTAGAACTTTCCGTACTCCTGTTTCCGTTTATATCTAGCAGATTACCCTTGGCGCATATTGAATCTCACTAGAATCAGCCAAACAACTTAAATCATACATAGGATTCGATAGTTATTACTACGAAGACGATGCGGAACAAAATACAGGTTCTTCAAACAATACGTTGCTAGCGCCGGAAGCGCGGGGATTTTTTACGAGTTTCGCAAGGCGGAATCCAATTGGTCAACGCGTTACTTGGAGGGGCATTAACAAAGCAATAGTGGCGAAGTCACCACTACCACCAGCCTTAAACCTCGTAACTATTGGTAGCTTCGATGAAATATATTATATCGAACGTATGTAATATTATTTATTCGTAATAAAGCGGAACTATCGTTAAAATATATTTTGTTTATTGGATATTTGTTTCCACCTTTAATATATTTCTGTGAGAAACTTCATTGAACTCTGTCGTGATGGTAGTTAAAGCATAGCGGGAAATTTACACTTGTTGAGAATCAATCTCCATCGTGAAACGAATCGAGAACGACGCGTACGATTGAGCAATTTTCTTGACGGCGGTTCAGAACGGAATTCCGTTTTTAACGTAGGTGCTGTGCTTGCATTTTTAAAGCGTTTTAAAATCAAATTTCCAGTGAACGGTTTCGATAACGTTGCTGATTCGTGCGCCATCTGTAAACGAGCGGGAAAGAAAAGTGTTTGAAGGCCGCCGGCCTGCCGGCCGGGCCGAGTAACTTGGGTCTCGAGCGAATCAGTGTGCGAGTCTCTCTGCCATTTGCGCGTCGGTACGCGACTACGCGACAGTGGTGATACCAGAATTCTACGGTTGCTTACCGGTGCATATAAAACTCAGGCCTTATTAAGTGCGTTTACTACCTAAATACTTTATCGACTTGACGATTGAATCGATCAGCATGGCGGATACGGAAACCAAGTAAGTAGTACGGATTATTTTATCGATGTATCATAAGGAAATCACGCATTTCCACCGAACGCTTCCAAATGTTTCGTTGTCGAATAAACCGACGACGGGCTAATCATTTGCCCGTTGCATAATTCCGTTTCTCATTCATCTATCCCGAATGGGCTGCCGTTGTATGCGATTTTCTTGCTTTCACAATTTCATTTGAATCGTCGTCGATTGTATACTTTTGAAAGCGTACCTAGTTTTGTAAGAGTGCGGCCACGAGAAAGGGACGAGATAGAAGAGGGGGTATGCCCTCTCTACGTGATATTCTCAGCTTGATTCGTAAGACGCGTTACGTTCGCAGGATTACCTGCTTTTGCCACGATACATGCTCTACTTGCAGACCCGCTTTTCTGATGGCATCGTTTACCTTCTTATTTTTCCCACTTGTAGCTTCACATACATACGTAGGACAATGATGGTGGCACAACGCGTGTCAATATTTGTTTGTGTTTTTTCATGTTACTATTATCCTCCTCGGTGTCCTTACTATTATTTATGATCGAAATACTGTCATTCTTATTCATAACGCGTCTTAATGTAATTGTAAATGTAATATAATATTTATTTGAATATTTTCGAGTATGAAATTCTTTTAATGCCTCGATAGCAACCATCGTGTGGATATTTATACGTCGAGAAGATAAAATATCGGTTGTATATATAAAGAAAGTCTGGAAGTATTTTGTGAAAGATTGTACGCGCATCACCTTAAAAAGAAATGCACAGCTTATTGATCTGTTCTCCTTTACCGACTAGGTGTAAAACCGCCAGTACATATTTTCATTTTCCACTTAATATTGTCGAGAAGACCTATATCGTGTTTCTAATGGCGAATGTCGATACTACTTAAATTTATTTAAGTCCCCGACGCTATGCGAACAAATGTATACGTGTGTATATGTTAGGTTGATGTATATTTACGGTCTACGCATCCACGATTTGCCGCGCTGAACATTCTCTGTGTGTTTGTGTTGAGTTACGTACATATACGTGTTCGTGTATGACTGCTGAAAGGAGAGGGAGCGGGCAGGAGGAGGGGACAAAAGCAGGATAATATCAACATCGCTAGGTGCCGCCACAGTTGGCGTCCTATCTCTATTTCTATCCCTCGCCATTCCATCTTTGTCTATACTTATGTAGCATAAACCGATACCAAGTTTAAAAAAATACATACGTGTTGAGTTTGTTTTTGACTATATAACAGACTTTACGTCGTCTAAAAATTTGTATCTTTCGCTTGTTTTTTCAAAATATGATACAAATTCCGTTTACAAAAATAGGAACGACGCTATTGTTATTTTAAATAACAAATATACTACTATTTATATGAATTATTTGAAAGGTGATTTGAGGGTTATAATTTTTTTTTTTCGTTTAGGGACGCCAAAGTTGCTACTACACCAGAAAAAAAAGTTGTGGAAGAAGAAAAGAAGGTAGTGGCAGACGTTGATGAAGATTCAAAGGCATCTGAGAATGGAGAGACAAAGGAAACCAAAGAAAACGGATCAAATGAAGAAAAGGAGTCAGATGATAAAGAAGCAGAATCAACAGAAAATGGTACTTCTACAGGTAGGATTGAGCTAATACAATAGAAACAAAGTAGACAATCTTAAATTGAAAGATTTTGAAATAATTTAAAAGCATATAAAGTTGTAGAATGTAACAAAATGTTCCTCTTTATAGATGCTCCTGTAGATAGCTGTTGTATAAAAAGAAAGTCAACAACTTTGAGTGATACAACAGATGAAACTGTAACTGATGGTGCAAGTCCTGAGAAGAAATCAAAACTTGAAGAAAAGTGTGCTGAAACAGAAAGCAATGGAGAAGCAGAAGCTACAGCCTAATACCTTTTATTTTACTTGTAAACTCAATCTATAGATGCAATTTTAACAGCTAACTGAAAAGTCAACAGCCAAAATTTGTCATCTGTGCATTGTTAAGACAAACAAATACTAAACAGAGGAACTTTAACACTGTATTAATGACTTTTTATGTTGACACATTTGTGTCTCTATTGCAACCATTTTTATAACTAATTGGCAATGGCATTACGTGTATTCAAAGCATCTTCATACATTTTTGTCTTAAATTACTACCATTCGTGTTTCTTATATTTTCCACAGACGTCCACATACATATATTCACTTAGTACTAGATTCGCGAAGTAAGGGAGATATAAATAATATTAGAAATAATATATTTCTGATTCATGAAGATAAATGATGGTGTGGTGCTTGAGAAAGATATTTATGGAAAATATTCCATATAAAGTTCTCATTCTTTCTGATGCACAGACATAAGTATACATAGACACCTCATATCGAATATAAAAGAAACAATATTTTTCTGCAAATCAAAATACATTCCTAAAATACAATAAAGTTTACCCAGGAATTGTTAACGTTTAATGACGAAAATTAGAAAACTAATTGTATTTCTAAATTCTGACATCAAACATCTTTGTTTCACAATATATACATATATAGATACATTTATACGATTTATGTTCGATTCAGGTGTTAACAAATAGACGAACTACTATTTGTTTTGGTGCGTTAATATAAATGCAATATATAATTTAACACGTTAAATGCCAATCTTGTAAGTCATTTAAAAACTTTTCATGCGAAATAGGTCCGTTTATCCGTAGGGATTGACATGGCGTTTAACGTTTTAAACGATTTATAATAATGTTTAAATAAAACTATTCTTTAATCATCAAAATCCAGATTGTACCATTTAGCATTCTTTTACTACAATAGTATATAATACCATTTGCAAATAACTTTTAATGAGATACCTGACAATATGTAATAACATGTATTTGTATGTATAGATATGCTGTTGAACAAAAACGTTTAATGTTAAATTTGAAGTAACAGCAATAAAATACGCTGCGTTGGTAACTTTATTGAAAAGTTACATATCAAAACCTTCAAATCTACGTATACTTAAAATATGGCAATTATATGTTTGTATAAAATATAAAAGATGACAAATTAAAACCAATTTAATATATATATACATATATCATCCTATCACGAATAACTGGTTTGTAACGTAATATGTAAAACTACTATTATATTTTGACAAAAATTTGTTTAATTACTTTCTAGTACAAATTATTTTCATACAATCAGAATCATTGTGTAATATTATTTCTCGTGTAATAAATATTACCTACGACTTAGTAAAAATCGTATGAAATTATATTCAAACATATCCAATGACAAAATTTTCGGATTTTTATTACTTTAATCTTTCGTTAGGGATTCCGGTAGTATATTAGGGGTCACTGGTCCCCCTATACCTCAGGTACCTCGAAATTGCTAAAGCCGTACTGTAACGATAATCAAACATAGCTGTTTGCCCTTGAGAACTAATAAATACAAAAGAGTATAGTAATAATATTTAGTATACGGAAGACAAATTTGTAGTGCGGAATTCAACAATATTCTGGAAAATGTATCGGACCTTACAGATATTAATTTATTTGACAGTAATTTTAAATATAGGAACATTTTATTCGTGTACTTCATGGATTTTACGTAGTACTTGTACTATAACAATTGGAAACTAATTCGAAATAATACTTAGCGTCATCTGTAGGAGAAAGGAAAAGTTTAACAAAATTCGTGACAGATGCGCATATCAGTGCGTGTTACGTGTTTTTGTGTACAATGTTGTGTTCATTCAAAATGTGTGATTAGTATTTAATTTTGAACGTTTATAATTAAGGAACATATTTGAGAACTAACTTTCCTCTGACCGCGTTATTTATATAGTCGACAAAATGAGTACAAAACCAATTTTTGTCAAACCTGGTAAGTAAAATTGCTTTAAGTTCATTATGTAAACGAATTCTTTTTGAATACAGCTTTAAGTTTAATGACATTATATTACTTATTAATCACGATCAATTTAAGAATACAATTATTCATTTATTATATTGTATAATAAAAGGTATATTTCTGATTGCAATATTATTAACATAACCCATTGAGCTGGTTTATATCTTCCAAAACAACTTATATTTTTATATACCTGTCATGTTTAGAAAATCTATATGTTTTTAATCATTTCTAATGTTATAGGTGACAGTATGTGGCAAGAAGATAAGCCAGATATTGATGCCCATTCATGTACACAATTTGTATATAATGCACATCATTCTCTTGCACTTGATATGCAGCGACAAAGATTACCCACATTCAGGTACAAAAGTCATATTGTTTATTTACTGGAAAAGTACCAAACATTAGTCTTAGTTGGAGAAACTGGATGTGGAAAGAGTACACAGCTTCCTCAGGTAAGCTCAAGTTTATAAATTTGATTTTATTGAATAATGAAATAAAATCGCATGGAAAAATCATTATAAGTAATAATATTACTTTATATATAACTATAACAAAAGGAATATAAAAATAGCTGTAACTTGAAAATAAAGTCAAAGGTTACATGTTTCTATGAACTTTTTTCATTGCTTTGTGCTCTCCATATACTGATGAACTGAGTTTTCACACGGTATGAGAATCTATCTGGACAGAATGTTCCATTATAATCTATACGTACAATTATCCTCCAAACTATTTTAAATAAAATTTACCATTATATGAATGGTAGAAAATATTTAAATAATTATAAATTGTTCAGACCATTAAAGTTGATGTTACTCAGTAGGTTTTATTCCATAATTCAAATATTTGCATCATTCTTAATTTATATTCTTTATGGACTTATTGACATATTTGCAAATATGAATCACACTGTTTTTGTGACTCATAGTATGTTTCCCATTTTTTCAAAAACTTTCTAGAAATGATTGTTTCAGAGAACATGGTAAAAGACTATTATTCATAAATGTATTTTATATTTTCAAAAAAATGAAAATGCTTAGTTCACTCTAAAATTCAATTTACTCTAACTTCTTTATTATTTAAAAAAGCATTTGGATTACATAGTATCATCCACAGATAACATTGAACTTAGAACTGCTTTGCATTTAGAGGGTTAGTTTACAATGGATGATCAAAAGATTCACATAAATGTACCTTCTGTAATTAATATGTTTGATATGATTATACATTAAATATTCAAATGGTATACAATTTGATCAGTATGTATCGTTTTTTAAATTTATTAAAGAATCTATATTATGATTTCGTATAGTGTTTTCTATACAAACAATAATTTCGTTTGCAGATCGTAGATTATACATTTTGTTAATTTTTAAATTACATATTACGTTTCGTTTATTTATTACTTTTTTTTTTATAAGAATTGTGCACACACAACAAATGTCGCGTGTAAATGAAATGGTAGCGAACTGTAAAACGCGCACGCGTGCAAGCCTGGATAGAAGTTTTGTAATTTTAACGCATCGCCATTCTATTCTATTATAGACGCAAACAAATTTAGATAGTAGACTACTGCCAGTAGTTCTCTGCTGCTCGAAGCAGATTTAAGTAAACTGTACGAACTAACTGTGGCTCTCATAAAATCATTTGACATTATTTGGTGGACAGTCATGTTTTATAAACGAAAACATCGTGAAATAACAATTTTTGCAATCAACTGACGCATTATCGAACCTTTCAGAGAAATTATGTGACACCAGTGCAACTGAAGTTTTATCACGAAAAGAAAAAGATTTCATATTATTCTTTTAATAAAAGTAAACTGCAAATGAAAGAAACAATTGAGTATATTGCTCAAACAAGATGTGCAACAATAATATTTTTACTGACATTGCACTCAATAGTCAATCAAATTGTAATCATGTGTAGGCGTCGCGTCATGCCAAGACGTTGCTGAATATCAGAACAGCTCCCACTGCAAAATGAAATATTGTTAATTATGTTGATTGTTAACCGTTTACCTATAAAATATGTAACATGGAAAAGATAATTAAACGTAATCAAGTGAATAACGCGATAAGTTCAGAAGTTGAGCAACTATATTTGTTAACTGTGATATGCTGTCGTTACATTGATAAATTGAATACACGATAAATCAGGAAAACATGTTCTTCCGTTTCTCTTAATTTATATGTCGCCAAAAAAAATATGTGTGATAATATGAACCGTGTTGGAAAAGTGAGAACATTGCTAAAAAAGTTAGCAACATATAAAGAGAAGTATAGTATGGACATACCAATGAAATATTTTTATCAATATAACAAAGTGCCAAAGTCATATAACAAAATGTTTGGTACAACAACCCTGATAAGCAGGTCATTCTTAGCAATTTTTATAATACTGACATTATACTTCCTTGGAATGGACCTCCTGCTTTATTCTAGAGTACAAAATTATGATGTACGACCAACACCAAATGGTACACGATATGTTTCGATTATACCTTGTGATTTTAATCCATTGTGCACAGTAACTGTGAAAGGATTAATGCTAGATCATCCAAATCATTTTCTTCTGAGTCCTCTTGCAGCTATCATGGATGATCTATTACGCATTAGCAGCTCTTGGACATGGGTAACACCAAATGTAATCAGTTGTTTTCACGTGTTAATAGCAGTGTTGGCTGGTAAATGTGTTTCCAGTGATTCGTTGTCTCATAGACGCTTAGGTGTAATATTATTCCAAGCAAGGACATGGTTAGATGATCTAGATGGTCATGTTGCAAGAAAAAGGGCAAATATTTATGGTGAACGATCAGATGTTGGCTCAAGTGGTTACATTATCGATGGTATTTGCGATGCTTTGGGTTGTGTCGCTTTAATCATTGGCCTATATCAGTTTCTTGCCCGTAATTCAAACAGACGTGGAGGGTATGATAAGCTGTCACAACTACCAGTTTCATCAGTCCTTGAACCTGGAAACATAACATCAAAAACTTCAAATGCAGCACTTCGTAATATATTACTTCTGACCGTCCATTTGTTCCTTACCAGTGCTGCCTGGAATCGATATATATCTTTATACCAGGATCTTCTAGAGACTGATTATAAAACACCATCGATTAGTAGAGAACATCTTTACGCTAGACAGACAACTATATTCAGAAGTCTGTCATTTTGGATAATATCTCTTTGCTGGAAATTTATAAATTTTCATGCTGTCATGGATTATCTACTTTTAGCAATATTTTTTGACCGTATAAGAGAATACATTAGACTTATAAGATGGTCTTCATTTGTGATTGTATTGTTAATTGTTTATATAACTGAATTTCATTTTCTACGGGCCTATGCGTATGTACAAGGTGTACCATCCTTCATTGATGAAGAGATAACTTCATCTGATGTTTTCTCTCAAGGATGACAGTATGAATCTTGGAAAAACTTGTTTCCTACAGCAATTTATAATCGGTGATACATAACGACCAGAATAACTATTATATGCTGAAATTTGCAAAGTCATTTATCTACAAAAATAATATTTCAATCAAATTTTTTGTATTTTATATTTTTCTGCATGTATTTTGTATAAATAGCAGACTGATGTTTGAAAAATGTACAATGTACAAAACCCCTTAAGTGCTAAATTAGTAACATTCTGTTTTGATATGGCTTCCAAATGTTACATTAATGTAATGATGTAATTTTAATTTGCTGCACTTGCCATTATTTTCTAACAAATTAAGTTGTAATTTGTTAGGCCAGTTAACAATTCTAACGAATATTATCTCGTGCATTTCGTAATCTTAGTGTTTTGTACAGCAAACATAATTGTTAAGTAAATGTCTGCATCTCAATCTCTGTGATATTTCATATTAGTAAAATAACTTTTATTTATTTTCTAATTCATTTAAGAGGTTGATGTGTAAATTTAATATAATATACGACATGTACTGGTGAAAAGTATTTCGTACTGATAATGGATTCATACAATCCACCAACTCGTTCTCTTTTTCGATGTGTTTTTCACATCCACAGGTCAACGTGAAAGGCGAAAACAAAGTTAATGCATTCCTTGATTCAGTCGATTAATGTAAATATTAATAGAAAGGTTGTATTTATTGTGTATATGTATGTATGTATATGGATACGTGAATATACATATATGTATATGCAATATGTATTTGTGTGAAATATACGGGCTGAGTAATATATGTTGATATGTGATAATTGTTATTATTAAGTGCGTTATTACACATTACGCTTAGGTGTAATATTATTATAGTATATAATAATATTATAGTATAATTTTCTATTTTTTACGCATAATCGTCAACAACCTCTTAACTTTACCTGCATAATTTCATGTGATCCAGTGCCGCGGGTTACCTCTAGTTGTAGCACTTGTAAGTTTGCCAAAGTCTCATGGTAGGTTTTTAACGTACATAAGCCTTTGTAACGAGCTTTCGATAAAATCCGATATAAATATGACACTAAACCACGAAGACGTAATACAAAGTAATACTTTACCGCTATCGGATTATCCATGCTGATTATTAAAGCTGGCATACAAATTTGGAAATTTAGAGCTTTGTGTTGAATTTGCGTACGATTATAGTAATCAAGTTTGTATGAAATATAATCTTTATTGACCTAGCGTATGTTGTTACTTCACTTGCCCCTGCCTGAGCTACTATAAGAATTATAATATTTACTTCCGATATGGTAAATAGTAAATTTTCTACTATAACATTTCGAACCAAGATGAAACAGAATAACGTTTTCCTATGTTTCGGTGGCATTAGTACGTTGCGTAGCGCAATATTCTTTATCACTATTCACGGATTGGTTCATTTTCCTGTATGCTAATTATAACAGAGAACGATAAAGGCAATTCCAGACAAAATAGTGCGATATTAATATTTTCAAACGATGGTATTTGTTGTTTTCTCCATCTTACTTCTATTTTTAAAACGCTGGTCATTGTTATTTTAATTCTAGTTTTTGTTAAACACAATTTATTCAACTAAAGCATTATGCAAGAAGATTCTCATCTGATTGCCAGTTCAGCTGCTTTGAAGTTTGAAATATTACTTCGTAAAGAAACGTGTTTCCTTTAACATTCTTTTCTGTTGTAAGAAATAAAAGATACTTTTTTTTTTAATAACAGTGTAATGTTTATTACATATATGCGCGTTTACTTTATAAAATGATTACAGTATCTTCTTGAAGCAGGATGGTGTACAGATGGAAAAATGATCGGTATCACAGAACCAAGAAGAGTTGCGGCTACCTCTTTGGCCAGTCGCGTTGCCGATGAACGTAATTGCATTTTGGGCACCGAAGTCGGTTATTCTATTCGCTTCGATAATTCTACAGACGAAACGACAAGAATCAAGGTACCTTTCCGCGTGTAAAGAAATAATGTTGGAATTTTTTGAGTAAATTAAGTAGTTGCTCTATGTTGTATTTAATTTACACAATTGAATTAGATGGCAATATTCACTAAATTAGAAAACAATACATCGTTTAACTGGAGTAGGTGATCAAGAAACTTTTGTAGCGTATTCGTTCATACTAGAGATAAAGGAGGTCATGTAAACAAGAGTATCTTAGCAAGCAAACATGTAAACATTTTTTGTTTACTTCATTAAAGGCTCAGCTAAAGACTGATCACTCTTGTAGTTACTACACTGGCTCGAATATAAAGTCGACAAATCTTTTCATAAGTACTATTATAGTTTATTTAAATGTTAGGGACGCAAAGTTTCAAAATAAAAATATGATAAATTAAATAGATATTTAATGTTAATAAAATCTATAAAAGTAGTGAAAAACATATTTTTCAGTATTGTTTTCCCGTGACTAGAAAAAAGCTGTACAACGTATTATGTTACCGGAAACGTTAACCGACATATTTACTTAATTGTACCTTGAAATCTTCAGAGAGATTATAAGCTATTTTTCCGTACCCTAATCTCTTCCAGCGACAACTCAAAAACGAAGGTTCGAATTTAAAAAAAAAAAAAAAAAAATAGAATACTTTTACGACATGTATAATTTGGAGTTGAACTCCCTCCCAAAATTTCTAAACGCTCTTTCTCTCGAGAAAAATAATGTTTTTAATAAAGAAGGGAACTATTAATAAAACTCGTTACAAATGTTCATCCTATTTGTAGTACATGACAGAAGGAATTCTCCTTCGTGAGTTAATGAGCGATCCATTACTGACAAGCTATTCCGTCATCGTTGTAGACGAAGTACACGAAAGGACCCTACTCACTGACATTATAATGGGATTATTGAAGAAAATAATGCGGGTAAATTGATTAATTGCACACAATTAAATCTGAATGAAAGTATCACATCAGATATTAGGAAAAAATTGTCTCGTTTCAGAAACGAAGAAGCTTAAAAGTTGTCGTTTGCTCGGCCACAGTCGATGCGGAACAATTACGAGATTTTTTTAATACGAGCACGACGAAAGACACCGCAGTCATAATGACCGTCGAGGGTCGACTTTATCCAGTAGACATTTTCTTTGTACGAGGTACATTTGTATTCATAAAGTGGAAGTCGAAAGTATTTGTACAGGGAGATACCCGTAGCGATATAAATTATTTTGAAAAAGAAAATAGCTTGTATAATAACGTTTAAAGTCTAAACTGTAATCTCGCTACGATTAGTAGATATCAGGCGAGCTAACATCGATAAAAATACCGCATCCTGACTTACATGTAATCTTCGAATACTCAACAATTTTAATTCTGTATCAGTGGTTTTCAAATCGTTGTAGTCTACGCTCAAAAAAAAATGTAGACGAATTAGTAGAAAGAAATGTTCAAATATCCACGTATTGTTCTAAATTTTACAAGGTAATAAAGTAAATAATTGAAATGTGAGCATCTCGAAGGTTCTCACCTACAATTTAACTGCGCTGTAATAAAATTCCGCACTATCTAAACTAAATTACGTTATAACTATATGCGCATCGCGCTGTTAATCACGAAGAGGGAAGTGTTACGGAATGGGGGTAATAGTTCTGCAAGTGGAAAATTAATAGTAATCGATAAAGTCATGAGCACGTACGTGTACCTTGACGTATGAAAAGAAAGCTTGCTAAAGCGTATAGATAACTTTCGTGTATAAGCAGCACGTTTTATTTTTAACGTCATCCAGACTTTAAATATGCTTTAAAAATAATACTTTATCGACAGCTATTCAATCGCAGGTCCCAACCCCATCGGCGATGCGTGATGAGGACTTGAAAAACGTGTACGGAAACACCGTATCACGTTGAAAGAGTATTTGAAGCGAATTTGAAACGTTAATAAACAATTTTTCATGATGTACGAATACTTTCGCACCCCATTGTACATATATTCATAATATACGTTAGCTTTATTTATTACACGCTTACATGACATTGCAGAGCCAGTAGCAAATTATGTCACCGCCGTCGTGGATACCGTTTTGAAAATACATGTGAACGAAGAGCCCGGCGATATTTTAGCGTTTCTTACGGGTTTGGATGAAGTCGACCAAGCGGTTTCTCTTTTATCAGAACATGCACAACTTATAAAAGAAGGCAAACGTGAGTAGAATTCTGTGTCACGTCCTTGTGGCTTTTCCAATCTTACATATTATTGTTCGGTTGAGTTGTGCAAATTTTATCTTTCCGTTTTTGTTTCCATTATTCTTTTCCAGTGAAACTTTTACCCTTGGCTATGTATGGATCTCTTCCGAATTCAGAGCAACTTAAAGTATTTTGGAGGGCTGCCAAAGACACTCGTAAAGTTATCGTAGCAACAAATATAGCGGAGACGTCTATCACCATTCCAAACATCGTTTATGGTAAAGACAAATATAATACATCTTTATACATAATAATTATGTTTAATTAGTAAGGAATATTATATTACTAAAAGGCCTTCATTTTCAATTTAGTAATCGATTGCGGTTTTGTTAAAATTCCGTGGTTCGAACCAGAAACTCAGACGAATTCTCTTGTTATTGTTCCCGTATCGAAAGCTTCCGCTGACCAACGTGCTGGTCGAGCTGGTCGCGTTCAACCAGGAAAAGCCTATAGGTAAACGTCTGCGTAATTTGCTTATTTATTAATATCGATCATTGTTTAAAGTTTCGTCTTTTCCGTAGATTGTACACAGAGGAAGCATATAGTGAATTGTTTGAGGCAACGCCGCCAGAAATGCAACGATCCGACTTAGCACCCGCAATCTTACAATTAAAAGCTTTAGGCATCGACAACGTATTGAGATTTAATTTCCCTTCTGCTCCACCTAGCAAAAATCTACTAACTGGATTGGAATTACTGTACGCGTTAGGTGCAATTGACCGCAATGGTGAATTAACGACCCCTTTAGGCATGGCAATGGCAGAAATGCCATTGGAACCTGTTTTGGCGAAATCTCTTATGGTATCAGGTACAACATTAATTAACTATACATATGTATTTAACTATGGAAGCTAGCAAATAGCAATTTAATCGAATGGATGAACATTTAGAAGAATTATCTTCATCAGGTTCGAAATTATTGATTAGCAGTGTTTCCGTATTTCTGATTCATCTCTCTACCATCCCATTTATATTATCTGAATCGTTATCACTATCGTTACCGATAACGTTAAAACAGCGATACGAAACATTCCAATAGAAAACTTCTTATATAATTAATATACGCGGGATGTCAAAGTTTTCCTCAAATATAAAATGTATTATTTAATTTTGTTCGTATATAGGAGAAATGGAATGTTCCGAGGAATTGTCAACTATTCTTGCTATGCTTCAAGTACAAAACGTTTTCATAAGGCCAGCTGGCGGTCAAGCTGCTATAAGGGCCAGAGTGGCGCATAGAAAGTTCGAAGTTGAAGAAGGAGATCTCCTAACGATGCTCAATGTATATACTGCTTACGAAAAAAATAAAATATCCAGTTGGTGTCAGAAACATTTTCTTAACTACAAAGCGTTACGACGAGCTACGGAAATTCGAACACAAATGCATTATATGATGAAGAGATTAAAGATACCATTGGTTTCTTGTAATGGTAAATTAAATTGAAGATCATGCTGTTTCGTGTAAATTACTTTTGAAAAATCTTGCAATAATAAGATCTTTCTACTTTTCTCTAAGGAAATGTACAACAAATTTTGAAATGCATAACCGCTGGGCTTTTTCCAAAAGCGGCATATTTAAGTTATACTGGGGTATACCAAACTGTGCGTGGCAATAGGGCTCTACATATACATCCAAATAGTTGTTTATATACACTTCAACAACCCCAATGGTTTGTATACAAATATCGGAACTTTCAATATCTCTATGCACATTGTCAATGTTTTAATTTGTCTATTTTTTCTTTTGTTCAAGGCTACTTTTCTGTGAAGTTCTACAGACGAATAAAACATACATGAAGGACATAACTGTGATACAACCAGAGTGGCTATTAGAATTAGCTCCTCACTTTTATGAGAAGACTTCCCTTGAAACTATTTAATATAATTTGTATAAATCGCCATAATAAAATGAAAAAAAAAAAAGGAAAATTTAACCGAATTATGCGAATATTTAAAACATTTTATTGACCAGTTTCCAAGATCGAAGATATTTTAGTTCCTTTAAAAACTTTAAAAAGTAAAGATGAATGTTTTTTATGAATAACTTGACTATAGCCCTAATGTTATAGTCATTTATTTAATTGTTGTAATTGAATATTAAATCCGTACTGTATCTACAATGAAACATAGCTAGAGTTCCTATGGGAAATGTTTTAGATAATCCCGCGCTTGATACTGTTTTTTATAGTGCTTCATTTTCTTCCATTTTTACCTGCAGATATAAAACAGAAGTTTGTATCATAACTATATAGTACTGTAACACCGACCTTCTGAACGGTCTTGCAGCGCTCTCTAGATTTAAGGACATTAATTTTGGGAAACATTGAGCTCAACCATCGAAATCATAGCACGTAGAAAACTTGCCTTCATACAGATTTAAATATTTGAAGGGTATTGTCGTATTGTATTGTATACATTGTCGGTGCTCTACCGGCTGTCGAGCTGTGCCGATGTAACAGAAAATTATATCTTAGGTGTTCTACCACTGTATAATCTTGTACAATTTTATAATTAAGGGACAGAAACGTGCATTAAATAACTTTATATATCGAAAAAAATCCACGATAGAAAGTTTAACGACTTAGATCCAGTTCGAAACTACAAATACTTTATGTACATAGATGTATAATGGACGTATGACTACATTCTGTTTGTGGTATTAACCTTAACTTGTGATATTTGCTCGGAAATTGATAATGAGCAGCATGGCAGAAGAAATAGTCGATTCGTTAAAAAGACTAAGTGTGGAACGCGACACGCGAAAGTATAATAATCGAAATGTCAAAAGGAAAAGCGAATTATTATCATCGATAGAGGAGGCAGTATCTCTTAATCACAACTACATCCTTGCTATCTGTGGAACACAAAGGCAAATCTTGTATATACTTATGAAACATTTTACGTTAAATCTATGAAGAAGAGTATAGTAATGCTTATCTTAATAATACGATGGAGAATAATTAAAAATATTCCTCATTCAACAATTTGTAGATAATTTTAATATATAAGACATACATTTTTTTCCTTTTTATACAAGAATTAATAGTTTACATTTCATATCAGATAACTATGTAACAAACTTTTGAAAATGTTTATTTTTATCCATGTTTTTGATTTGTAATTGAATAATATTTGTTAATTCATAGTACACTTCACTAGTTGCAAAATGCTAGACTTGGATTTAACATGAAATGTCCAATAATTATATGTTTGAAAAGTGTTGGAAATATTTCATAAATTACTTTATATGAACAGTGATCCAGAATATAGGATTTGTACAGCTCTCTGTGATCATACATGTGTTATATACTCTGTTGGGGAAAGTTTAAGTCGGACCATTACATTAAGTCACAATCAAGCACCTATTGTTGGTATCACATTTAGTCCAACTTCCAGAAACATTTTATATATAGCGAACAATAATGGACTGATCACTGCATGTGATTTACGAGCTAAAGGGAAAGTTATTGCAGAATTTAAAGGTACAGTAAGTTCTTTATTTACATCATTTACATTGAATAAAAAAAATGTATTTCAAGAAGAAAAAGAGATCAAATATGTATTATGTTTAATGTATTTATATTATTTCCAGATTGTACAGATGATGGTAAAATGAAACCTCTTTGTAGTTTTGATGTAAGTCATGATGAAAGACTTATAGCAGGTGGCACAGAGCATATAGGAGGAGATGCATTCATTTTATTTTGGGATACACGAAATACTAATTCAAAATTGTATGGTAAAAATAATAATCTTCTTGGTGGGTATTGGGGATGTCATATGGAAGATGTGACCTGTTTGGCATTTCATTCTAATATGCAAGATGTCTTAGCATCTGGTAGTACAGATGGATTGGTTAATGTCTTTGATCTTACACAGCCTTCAGAAGATTTTGCATTAATCCATTCCTTAAATATAGAAAACTCTGTGGTGAGTTATAATTCTTGCAAAAATTTTAAATATATTAACACCATAACTATGAGTAATACTATTCTCACCAAACAAATCTGTTAAACAAAAGGATAGGATAGGCTGGTTAAATGATAATAATCTTTGGTGTACAACACATACACATTCACTACAACTTTGGGACTGTGATGAAGCAACTCCATATGCTAAATTTGAGCGCAGTAACTTAGCAATTTCCCAGGTTAATATAAACTTGAATAATTATAATTTATAATATTATATTTGTGCAATAAATAATTTGTATTCGTTTTAGTCTGATGATCCAAGCAACTGCTACACAGTCAGATTTCATGCTTCAAATGCACTTGAACAGCCATTTTTAATAGCAGGTGTCAGTAGTGTTAAAGGGTAAATATCAGATAAAAATATAATCAAATAGGATAATACGACATTAATATCAAATATATCAATTAGTAAGATTTAAATGTAAATAACTGTGCTTATTTCTTATTAAAATGTTTTAGGGAAAATTTGAGGTGTTTAAATGTCGTAAATGATCAATTAGAAATACGCCACAATATGGTTGAAAATAAACAATTGGTACGCGACAGTTGGCTGCATGAAAAAGTATGATTTTAATATAGATACACCTGTTAAAAAATGAATCATTTAATTAGTCCTAAGTTAAAATATAATGTTTTAATATGGTTTTTAGAGTGGTTCCTTAATAACGGTAGGCGAAGGTGGACTTATAAATATTTGGAGGCAAACAGAAGCAATGTCTATACAACAAAATTCTAGCCACAAATTGGTGGCAAAAATTGGTACTGGCAAACGGCGCGATCGTCAGCACAGGACTAAGCCATATTGAATAAAAGTGATAGGATAAGAATTTGTAAATGCATGAAAAGTTTTTGTGAGTAAATGTAATAAACAGAAGGGAAATATCACGTAACATTAACATAATCGTACATTTCCCTCACGTTCTTCTTTATTACAATAACGGTTGTATGTACATTTATAATAAATAGATATTATTTCTTTATGTGGCTAATGATTTAACAGCGATTCATGTATCAATCAAAAAATGCAGCAAAACATGTGTATATAAATGCTAAGGAATGTAAATCACATACTGGTGTGTGTATACATATATGTATAAGATTGAAAGAGGAAGAAAAATATTGTAAATATTTGTTTACTCTTACCAAGTAACGAATTAACTATGATTGGATCGCCTTACGGAAAAATTATTTCTCTTCGCGATGTAAGGATTTATTAAAATAGAAGCTTACGATTTGCATTTGTTGTAAAATAGACGTGTTTAGTGTGTTGTGAATAAATGGTACTCTCGATAAAGTAATTAAGCAAATAGCACGATAATAACAATTAATATTAGCGTAACCGATATAACAGCTCTTAGCTTAAAAGTATTCAACTCTAAGAGAATTTAATGCTGATGTATCGAGTGGACGCGTCTTAAAACAGATACCCATCCACTTATTAGATATTATAATTTTACATTAACGTTTCCAAAGACGATCGCAGTAGCGAGTATCACAATGATAACAGTAGATATAGTTTTAGAGTAAAATAGTAGGTACAGAGTAAACGTACAAAAATACTTCCCATGAGCATCAGGGACGTAAAGATTCACTAAAACGTGGAAAACCGCGTTACTAAGAATTCTTTATATCCTTTCTTAAACTTATGCTGTCAGGTGACATCAAACATTTTGGATGCCACTTAGACGCACGTAGGCCGCCGCACTACTCCTTAGTTGTTATTCCAATTTGATTCTTCGCGTTACCCTGAAGATGGTGTGCGACTTCATTATACAAAGGAAATGGTTAATAACAACGAACTTTAATTGTATCAAGATACATTTGACATAGTGGAACGTTTTTAATGTATATAAAGAATACATTCTTTAATATATATTTTAATATACACATGTATTGAAATATCTATCTGGAATGACTTTTTGGAATTACGCTTTAATGTTAAAACTTACTTTTCATATATATGTTTCACGTTTTCCTTATAATGAGCATTATGATATTAAGAACAGTTTAATTTGGTATTAAGTGTTCTTGAAATGAAGTCGAACACTCATCCGTGAAGGCTACTAACAGGTTAATACAATATTATTTTATGAGCTGATACATGTTCGGCATTTTTAGTAATAGACTTGTAAGAACTCATTAATTATGTTTTTTTTTCACATTTTACATCTTACAGAAATACTTTTCAGATCTATTGTCACCACGATTGATTGAGACGAGCTGATAGTGTTACTTACGTTTCCTTATGAAGATAAATTAATTAGTCACATGTTTTATCATCGTGCCTCGACGACGCTGTCCTTTATTCGATCATATTGCACGCTACAGCATCTAATGAGGCAAATACACGCGATTTATATATGTATATATAAGTATCAAAACAAAAATTCTGATTTCATAATAACGATCTATATTCTAGAGCCGAGTTTTCAAGATAACTATTTACTTCGATCTCGTTATTCTAATATACTTCAATTTCAAATATAATTTTTGCTTTAACGATCAATAAACGAAGTAGTAGCATTAACATTTTAAACGTGCAGTATGATCATATTTCGTGTAATACTTTCTCTTAAACAGTTTCCAGTTCTACAAAACATTCGAAAGCTTTGTTCATTGAAAAAAGCCTCGTATAAATAAAATATTTTAGGCAATCGAGAAATATCACTGATCTTACGTAATGCAATAAATAAAATAACTTGTAGATAATTAAAAAAAAAAAAAGAGTCATAGAATAACAATAATGGCAGTGAAAAATCTCGAAGCAAAATATCGAATATAAAACACTAATTAAATTGCTGTTCGCTCAACTTAAATTAAGGTCCGATCTTACGTGACACTAAGTCACGACTTTTAACCAAACACTGTTTGCGCAGTAACAAATGTGACATTCAGTGTCATGGAATTAAAACTCGTGACTATATAACACTGTGAAAAATGAACTTTAAAGAATTAACGACCGTTTCTGTTAAAGGAATG